CAAGGAGATGCGATTTGAAGGATTCATGTACAAAGCAGTTGTGTGTTTGTCGAAAATTTTGCATTATTGATGAATGAAGTGCTTTGAAAGGTGGAGAGAATTGGCATCTAAACTGGATGAAGGATGAATATGCTTATTGGTCGGAAGCTGTGCATAAGACCGGGTGCAACCTATGAACCTGCAACGCAACGGTCATACCACAGCCTGCTGTGGAGTTCGTGGCATTTTGTGCCATAGGGTAACATATTGTAACACACACACACACACAACCATTGGGCCGGGAGGAGGTCACGATTAACTGACATTGATGATAGGCCTCTCGATGATAAGTACCCTGCCTTAAAAATACAGCTAGGGTCTGTGGTGGGAGAGTAGAGGGCGTGCGTCACTGGTTGGTCTGGTGGGTTCCAACTGGTGATGATGATAGGCATCTCGATGATAAGTACCCCGCCTTAAATATACAGCTACGTTTGTGTTGGGAGAGTAGAGGGCGTGAGTTACTGGTTGGTCAACTTAGGGGCACACACACACACACACGCACACACACATACACACACGCACACACACACACACACACACACACACACACACACACACACACACACACACACACACANCACACACACACACACACACACACACACACACACACACACACACACACACACACACACAGGAAAAAAAATAAAAATAAAAATCAGTTTTATGTCTGCCAGTCTTTCTTCTGTTGCCTATCCTCCCCCTGATTTTTTCTAAGTATTATTTTGTGTGCCCAATTGAGCACCCTTAAGTAGTGTCAAACAGTCGGTGGTTCCTCGTTTGGAGTGCCTACTGCAATCTTAGGGGGGCCTCTCGGTTCGGGATGTCTGTGTTGCCTGTGACTGATGACGAATGTTCGTCGGAGTGACTCCCTGGCTAAGTGGGTGGTGGGAACCAAAGTCTGCGGGGTTCAATTGTGATGTGAATAGGTCATGTGCTGCTTTGCTCCGTGTTGGATGTGTGGACTGCCTTGTCTACGCTCTGTCATTGCCGTGCTGGCTTTGCATGTGGTTCTCTGCAAGCTGCTGTGTTCGTTCTATGGTGTGGTCGTGTTGTTGGTGTCGCCTTGCACTTCGCTGCTCCGCTGCCTTGCTGCTCGTCCGCTGGCCGTGCCTTCGATGTTTGTCGCTTGTGTGCCTTGTAGGTTGGTTGCCTTGTTGCTGGTGCCTTGTGCTCCACTCCACGGTTGGAGAGCTGCTGGTCCGCTTGCCCTGTCGTCCCTTGCAGTGTGGTTGCCTTGCTTGTGTTGTCTTGAGCTTCACTACACGGTTGCGGCGCTGCATGTCCTGCGTGCCATATTGTTCCTTGCAGTCGTTTTTGGCGTTGTGCAGCCGTGTTGCCTCTACTATGTTGCCTGGTGCTCCACAGGGTTGCTGCCAACTGCTATGTTCTGCTTGGGAACAGTCTGCCTTCAACAAGGGTTAAAGGGCTCATGACCCAAACCATCAAATACGGAGATTTCGCAGATTGCAGTGGGTTCAGCGTCCTGATGAGTTGGTGCAACTCCGACAAAACAATCTATCATATTTTGTTTTTTTCGCTTTGTGTTTTTTGCTGCTTGTTCTTTTGTCTGCCTTGTTGTATTATTGTCGGGCTGCTTCTCGACTTCCTGTTCGTTCTTTTCTTGCTTAGCATTGTTTGTCTGCCCACCCACCTCCCTCCAGCCTACGTTTTGGGCTGTTGCTTCACCGCCCTGGTGCTACTTCTTGACTTGTTGTTGCCGCCTCATTTTTCTGCCTAGTGTTGTTTGTCTGCCTGCCCGCCTCCCCCATGCCCTCCACCTGCTCGCCCGCTTCCCCCATGTCATCCACCCTTTGTTCTTTGCTGCAGCTTGTCATCCATGTATCGTGTTGCGCCTCGACCTTAGCATTGCCATTTTGCTTGCCTTGATGTACTTGTCTTACCGCTGGTCAGTTTGTTTTTTTGTTTTTCTTTTTTCGTTTCCTGGCTTTTGAAAGTTGGGCATTATAAGCATTCTCTTCTATGGGCATCCGCGGCTGTGGGCTCTTTCACAATGTTGTTTATAAGCACGCTTTCCGATGTAGCATGTTGCAACACGACCGCAAAAGCCATGCAATACAAACATAACACACGCACAAAGATTTGTGTCGCAGAAGCCATGCAATACAAATATAACACACGCACAGAGATTTGTCTCTTCTTCCTCATGAATCGATCAGACTCCTAAGTAGTCTTGTTGCTGTCCATGTGTGCCCTCCCAACACTTCTGGAGTGTCGTGCCTCTTTGACTTCTGAATGCGCTTTCCCATGGGAGTAGAGGTTACGTCTTCTTCGTGCTTGTCTAAGTTACATGGGTTGTGCATGTGTTTGTCTGTATGTGTGTGCGGAGTCCATGGGGCACCGGGTGAATGGCCTAGTGCCCCAGGACACTAGTCCATCCAGCCTTCCTCACAGAGGGAATGTGGGTGGGACACACACACACACACACACACACACACACACACACACACATACACACACACACACACAAAATCAGTTTTACGTATGTCAGTCTTTCTTTTGTTGCCTGTCCTCCTCCTGATTTTTTCTGAGTATTTTTTTGTGTGCCCAACTGAGCACCCTTAAGTAGTGCCAAACAGTCGGTGGTTCCTCGTTTGGAGTGCCTACTGCACTTTTAGGGGGGCCTCTCGATTCAGGATGTCTGTGTCGCCTGTGGGTGATGACGGATGTTCGTCGGAGTGACTCCCTTGCTCAGTGGGTGGTGGGAACCAACAGTTTGTAAGGTCCAATCGTGATGTGAGTAGGTCATGTGCTGCTTTGCTCCATGTTGGATGTGTGCACTGCCTTGTCTACGCTCTGCTGTTGCCTTCCTGCCCGTCCTAGTGGCTTCGCATGTGGTTCTCTGCACATTGTTGTGTTTGCTGCATGTGTGCCTTGCAGGTTGGTTGCCTTGTTGCTGGTGCCTTGTGCTCCGCTGCTCCGCCGCTCTGCTGCCTTGCTGCTCATCCGTTGGTCGTGCCCTCGGTGTTTGCCGCTTGTGTGCCTTGCAGGTTGGTTGCCTTGTTGCTGGTGCCTTGTGCTCCGCTCCACGGTTGCCAAGCTGCTGGTCCACTTGCCCCTTCGTCCCTTGCAGTGTGGTTGCCTTGCTTGTGTTGTCTTGAGCTTCACTACATGGTTGCCACGCTGCATGCCCTGCGTGCCATGTTGTTCCTTGCAGTCGTTTTTGGCGTTGTGCAGCCGTGTTGCCTCTACTCTCTCGCCCGGTGCTCCACAAGGTTGCTGCCCACTGCTATGTTCCACTGGGGATAGTCTGCCTTCAACAAGGGTCAAAGGGTTCATGACCCAAACCATCAAATACGGAGGGTTCTGCCTCCTGATGAGTCGGTGCAACTCCGACAAAACAATCTATCATATTTTGTTTTTTTTTGCTTTGTGGGTTTTGCTGCTTGTTCTTTTGTCTGCCTTGTTGTATTGTTGTTGGGCTGCTTCTTGACTTCCTGTCCGTTCTTTTTTTGCTTAGTGTTGTTTGTCTGCCCACCCACCTCCCCCATGCCCTCCACCTGCCCGTTCGTCCTTCCCCATGCCATCCACCCTTTGTTCTTTGCTGCAGCTTGTCATCCAAGTACCGTGTTGCGCCTTGACCTTAGCCTTGCCATTTTCCTTGCCTTATGGTACTTGTCTTACCGCTGGTCGGTTTGGTTTTTGTTTTCCTTTTCATTTCCTGGCTTTTGAAAGTTGGGCATTATAAGCATTATTTTCTATGTGCATCCGCGGCTGCGGGCTTTTTCCCGGTGTTGTTTATAACACACTTTCCGACGCAACATGCTGCAACAAGGTCGCAGAAGCCATGCAATACAAACGTAACACACACACACACACACACACATACAGGGGTCTTGGGCATGCTCAGGATCTCAGGCTCTTCGGGACCAGATAAGGGTCCCTAGCATTAATTATTTTTCAAATTAATAATTATTACTTTTTTTATTAATGCGAGGCCACTGCCTCTATGAGCCCCATAAAGCCCAATTTGGCAACCCGTCGGCCGCCCTAAGTGAAGGTAGGCTCGACGAAGCCCTAAGGGCCCTTTTTTGGGCCACCACGCAACTCAGAGAAATTCAGGCAGTTGCGCAGCGCCAGTTGGTTGAGTGAACCCAGGCCCTGGGCCGCCTGTGTGAATGCATGAGAAGCAGGCCCTGGGCTGGATACGAGTACCGGGCCAAACACAGGCCAAAGGCAGTTGGGCACATGCAACCACCTCAGACCCAAGGCCTGTTCTCGTCGTGCTGGGCCTCCGACTACCGGGGCCTACTGGAAGCTTCCTGGGACTGGACGCAGGCAGGCCACTTCGATATAGCAAAGGGTCTGCCTCCTCATTTGGCATTCGGGTGATGGCTGCATGTTGCGCAAGCGCTTCTGCGCTATTTTGCTGGCTGGCACTCACGCTCTCACGGGCGAGCAGGAAGGAGCGGGCAGCCATAGCCGAGCTGCTCCGCTGTGAGCTGGGTGTGGCGCAGGGTGGTCCTTGGGTGCTAGTGGCATCGGTGTGTTGGGGAATGAGGTTGTGAGTGTAGCGAGAGACATCCCTGGTGCTGGAAGCGTGCGACATTGGTCGCCATATGCTCGTACTTTGGGAAAGTTGTTGATGTTAACTTCGGCATTGTAGTATAGGCTAGATAGGATCTGCCATATGTAGCCTGGGCACCGAGCGCCAGATAGGATATCAACTCTGGTTCTTCGTTGATGATGATGATGGGACTATTTCACCATTATCAATTAGGAACTCTTGGTGTGTTCTTATTTGGTGAATCTCGTGATGCAATTCTGCTGTTGGTTCGAGGTCAAGACTCTCTGGACTCATGTGTATGATGCTGTTTGATTGTTGAAGTTCGCTATTTCTCATCTTCCTTAGCATATGAGCGACAGGGAGGACACACCACCAGACGACCGGATCTTGCGATCAGCTAGACGCCCGATAGCCCACGTGTCCTTAGGACCGGAGGGTGATAGGATTCTATTCCTCCAGCTTAGGGAGAGGCAGCAGCAGCAGAGGAGAGCTAGAGCAGCCGAGGCCAGCAGGGCTTTCGCTAGCGAGCCCGCTGCTACAGCAGCCATGGCCACTTCCGCTATGGTCACTTCTGCGCAGCAGACTTCCCAGGCCAGCAGTTCAGGTATCATCGGGTCAACGGTTGCGCAGACCGTGAGTCAGTCCACTGGCGTTATGGCAAGCCAGGCAGCAGTGTTGACCCCAGAGGATGTCGCCATCCAGCAGGCAGCCCTGCAGGAGGCACAATTACAACAGGCATTAGGACAGATAAAAGCGGAGAAGGAGAAGATGATTAAAAGAAGAGCCAGGATGCATCGGAGAGGGGCAGACATAGAGGAGTTAGAGACGATGGACCTGACGAACATGGATGATGATGTGAGGGTAGTTCGGAGGGCCCTGCTAGGAGTCATAGAGATGCAGGAGCATCAGACTACCATCCTTCAGGATATCCAACAGAGCCTAGCCATTGTGGCAGGGCGTGCTCAGGCGGCACCATCACCATCCGGGCCTGGTGCCTGGCCCATGGCATATCCTCCTTTTTCTGTCCCACCGATGACAGGGGTATCCCCATATGTAGCCCCGTCATCGATTGCAATCGTTTCCCTGGGCATGCCGGTGTCAGGAGGGATATCAGCAGGGACTAATTTGCAGGTTCCTGTTCAGACATTGTTCACCCAAACTCCGTCGCAGGTTGCAGTCACCACGCAGCCTGCTGTCTCGCAACCTGTGCAGCCGCAGGGCACACAGCCCCAGCAGCCGGTACAGCAACCTGTGTCACAGGGTCCACAACCCGTAGTGATGCAGGGACCGAGACAGACACAGTGGGTTTCAAAGACGGCCATCGCCGCTCCCAAACCTTTCACATGGGATAAGAGGGGCGAAGACCTTGACACGTGGTTGAGGGCAGTGCCGGTCTACGTCAAGTGTAAACTTACCTTGCTGCACGAAGAAGTGCTTGTGGCTGCTTCCTACCTAGATGGTAGTGCAGCAAGATGGTTGAGTGGTTTACTGCAGCTTCAGGGGTATGGTCATGACTTCCGCGCTTGGGCGGTCACTTAGAAATTGGAGGACTTCCTGAAGATGGTGGAGGACAGGTGGCAAGATCCTCAGGAGGCCCAAAGGGCCACTGATGCGATCCTAACACTGCACACGTGGCAGTTCAAGTCAGTAAGGGAAGCCACCGACGCTGTTGAGCGTCTGATCTACGTCCCAGGGATGCGCTATGACCCCCAGATCTTACTTACCTCGTACCTGAGATGCTTTTCACTGCCTCCTAACTGGAAGGCGAAGGGTCGCTTAATGGTTGTCGATAATGATGGTTCCACCATCAAAGTAGACGAACACTTCCAGGAGGGAGTAGGTTCGGAGGCGGGCAGCGTAGAAACTTCAGAGGGTGGAGTGGTCGTTGCCGTAGCTCAAAAAGGAAAGGCGACCGGTAGACACCGTGAAGGCTCCCGGTCTAGGAGTCAAGTTGATCCCAATGCTCCTCCATGGGAGAAAGCGGGTCTTACAGAGGACGTGTGGAGAGACCGTTACTCACGGCAGGCCTGTATTTGTTGTGGTCAATATGGCCACAACCAATTCAAGTGCCGCAATAAGAAGGTGACAAAAATTTTTCCGCCTACGATGGGGCAGGTGTTGGGATCCTCTCATCCCGTTGGTAGTAACGTTGCCAGTACTTCAAGCAGTGCTCCGGGAAACACGTCAGGCCAGTAGGAATAGTAACTGTTCCTACTAGGGTCGAGGTGGTGGAGACACCCTCACCATCTCGAGAGATGGCCCGAGCTACTGACTCCAGCGTCGTCCCGCAAACACGTTCAGACCCATCGAGCCTCTGTTCGATGAATGTGTTTGAGTCCTTAGAGGAGCTAGAGGTGGAGTGGTCTAGATCAGACCCGCTAGCTTCTTGGACGGCCTTAGTCAAAGCCCCTAAGGGTGAGATGTTCGTCAATGAGGTTGTCATTGGCAGCCGCATGGCCGGGGCCTATTATGACACTTGCTCGACTCAAAACTTTATCAATCACTCGTGCGTTGAGAGGCTGCGTTTACAGGGGCGAGTGCAGTGCCTGAGTCGACCTGTGGAGTCGACCTGTGCCAACAAACAGCGTATGGTAGTCAATGACTACCTCCAGGATGTTGAGTGTTGTTTTTCGTACGCGGGAGGGGAATTGAGACATCACGTCTCGTTCCTAGTGAGTGACGAGCTCCCAATGGATATGTTGTTAGGTATGTACTACCTCTCTGTGGCACAACCCCAGTTTGACTAGGACCGAAAAGTGGTCAAACACACTTTGTCAGGTGGAGGGACCGCCAGATTGCACAAGTTCAAAGCTAGTAGTCTGATTGAGTCTCATGGATGCACGTGTGCGGCTGCATTCTATAACTATTATAAGCAAAATCAGGAGGAGGGTATGTACTTAGTTTATGTCTCTGCTGCAGGCGAGCCGGTGAAAATGCCGCCGGAGATAGAGGGAGTAGTTGCCAAGTACCCTGATCTATTTGAAGAGGCGACAGGGGTTGTAGAGAGGGAGGTCCTCCACGCGATAAAGATTATCCCAAGGTCTAGCATCCCGAAGGGTAGGATCTATCGGATGTCTCCAAGCGAGCTCGATGAGCTTCGCCGACAACTCAAGGAACTCGTAGAGAGGGGTTGGATCCGGTCGAGTGTCTCTCCTTATTGATCTCCAGTACTATTCGTACCTAAGGAGGGTACACTTACGATGTGCATTGACTATAGGGGCCTCAATGCCATCACTGTAAAGAATAGAGAGCCCCTACCACGCATCGATGATCTGTTAGATAGAGTGCAAGGGTGTCGGTACTTCAGTAAGATAGATCTGAAGTTCGGGTACCATCAGATTGCAATCCGGCACGAGGATCAACACAAAACCGCTTTTCGGACCAGGTACGGTCTGTACGAGTTTGTGGTGATGCCTTTCGGCCTTTGCAATGCTCCTGGCACCTTTTAGCACGCTATGAATCGGATATTCCATGACTACTTGGATAAGTTTGTCATCGTGTACCTCGATGACATACTTATTTTTAGTAAGACTGTCGAGGAGCATGTTGCACATCTGGACAAAGTCTTCAGTCTCCTGCGACAACACAAGTTCAAGATCAACGGTGAGAAGTGCGAGTTTGGCTGCACCCGTGTCTTGTACTTGGGTCATGAGATCTCCGCGGAAGGGTTGAAGCCCGATGACGCGAAGGTGGCCAGCATTCGTGATTGGCCATGTCCTCCGTCTGTGACTGAGATGAGATCTTTCTTAGGAATAACAGGCTACTATAGGACCTTCGTTAAGAACTATAGTGTAGTGGCCGCTCCTTTGACTGATCTGACGCGCCTTGACACCCCATGGGAGTGGACAGATAAGTGTGAGGCTGCTTTCAGACATCTGAAGCATGCGTTGACGCACTACGAGGTCTTGAAACTTCCTGATCTTGATGAGCCGTTTATGGTCACCACGGATGCCAGCCAACATGGCATTGACGCTGTGCTCGCGCAGCAGGAGGGGCCAAAGTTGAGGCCTGTAGAGTACATGTCAAAGAAAAATCCGTCTCAGAAGTTGGCTAAGTCCACCTATGAGAAGGAACTCTATGCCGTTTACAAGGCTCTGACCCATTGGAGGCACTATCTCCTTGGGAGATTCTTCATCCTCAGGACTGATCATTAGACCCTGAGATGGATGAGAACTCAACCAGAACTATCTGACGGTCTAAAGCGTTGGATCGAAGTCATTGAGCAATATGACTTTGACCCTCCGTATCTCAAAGGGGAGTACAACAAGGTTGCTGATGCCTTGTCGCGTAGACCTGATTTCTCGGGTGCGTTGATTACTGAGTTTGATCTGACGGACAATGTTACTCAATCCTTGGTGGAAGCCTATTGCGAGGACCAGTTCATGTCTGAGATCATACGCAGACTTCAAGCGAATGACAAGAAGACCTCTGCCGAGTTTGAGTTGGTCAATGGCTTGGTGTTCCTTGAGAAGGCAGGGAATAAACGATTGTGTGTTCCTAATAGCGAGTCTTTGCGTAGTTTGTTTTTAGGTGAGTGTCATGACGCCACCGGATATTTTGGGTATAAGAAGACCGAAGCCAATTTGCTGCAGCGGTTCTGGTGGCCCACGATGATGCGAGACGCCCAACTGTACGTGGAGACTTGTCAGGTATGTCAAAGAGACAAGCCATGTACTCAGGCTCCTCTTGGGCTCTTGAAGCCCCTTCCAATTCCGGAACGGCCTAGTGAGAGTCTGTCCATGGACTTCATGGATACCCTCATCACCAGCAAGAGTGGGATGAGACATATCTTCGTCATCGTGGATAGACTTAGTAAGTATGCTAGGTTAGTAGCAATGCCGGGAACAGCAAGGACAGAGTACGTAATTAGAATGTTTAAAGAGAACTGGGTCAGGGATTTCGGCTTATCGAAATCCATAATCATTGATAGGGATGTCCGATTTACCAGCGAACTGTGGAAGGTCGCTGCTGCAGAACAGGGAACCCAGTTGCAAATGACTTCTGGGAATCACCTAGAGGCCAACGGCCAGGCCGAGCAACTGAACCGTGCGGTACAACACCTGTTGAGGCATTATATCAAGTCCAACCAGGTGGACTGGGATGAGAAGCTTGCACCCATCGCCAGTCTGTATAACAATGCAGTATACAGTGCTACCGGGGTGAGTCCAAACAGTTTGCTACTAACTTTCAAGCCTAAACTACCCCTAGATTTTCTCCTTCCTGAGAATCAGTCGACTGCTGCACCAGGTACGTTAGAGTTTGCTTACCGCTATAAACAGAAGATGCAGCAGGCTGTAGAACAGATGCAGAAGGCTCAGGCTACAATGATAGAGTTTGAGAATAGACACCGCCAACCTTCTACATTCCAGGTTGTGGATAGGGTCTGCGTTAAGTCTTCAAAATTGGGACAGGAGCATGGGATCTCCCGCAAACTCATGCCCAGTACTTTGGACCCTGGGAAGTCTTGGACATCGTTGGGACAGATCCGGATGGGCCATCTTATGTTATCTGGATCCCTGGTCATCTCTGTACTTACCCTCTCTTTCACGCATCCAAGCTGGCACCTTTCAAAGAAACTGGTCAGTTTCCATCTCGTCACTCAATGCTGCCGCTAACCATGGACGGAGAGGTGGACATCGATGACATCGTGGATCACAGAGAGCTGCCGGTATCAAGACCAGCAGGCAGGGGACATCCTACAAAACCGAAGCTGCAGTACCGCTTTCGGTTCCGGCATCACACTGATCCGAAGGAAGACCGCTGGTTCACCAGAGAAAAACTTATGCAGACCGCTCCTCAAGTTGTAGCCCAATACGAGAGATCTCTGCAGAAGGGAAAGCGCCCCATGGTTGAAGACTGAGCTTCTCAAACGACTGTTGAAGCTAAGGAGGAGGGAACGCGAGGCCACTGCCTCTATGAGCCCCATAAGGCCCCATTTTGCAGCCCGTCGGCCGCCCTAAGTGAAGGCAGGCTCGACGAGGCCCTCAGGGCCCTTTTTTGGGCCACCGCGGAACTCATAGAAATTCAGGCAGTTGCGCAGCGCCAGTTGGTTGAGTGAACCCAGGCCCTGGGCCGCCTGTGTGAATGTATGAGAAGCAGGCCCTGGGCTGGATACGGGTACCGGGCCAAACACAGGCCAAGGGCAGTTGGGCACATGCAACCACCTCAGGCCCAAGGCCTGTTCTCGTCATGCTGGGCCTCCGACTACCGGGGCCTACTGGAAGCTTCCTGGGACTGGACGCAGGCAGGCCACTTCGATATAGCAAAGGGTCTACCTCCTCATTCGGCATTCGGGTGATGGCTGCATGCTGCGCAAGCGCTTCTGCGCTATTTCGTTGGCTGGCACTCACGCTCTCACGGGCGATGCTCCGCTGTGAGCTGGGTGTGGCGCAGGGTGGTCCTTGGGTGCTAGTGACATTTGTGTGTTGGGGAACGAGGTTGTGAGTGTAGCGAGAGACATACCTCGTGCTGGAAGCGTGCGACATTGGTCGCCATATGCTTGTACTTTGGGAAAGCTGTTGATGTCAACTTCGGCATTGTAGTATAGGCTAAATAGGATCTGTCACATGTAGTCTGGGTGCCGAGCGCCAGATAGGATATCAACTCTGGTTCTTCGTTGATGATGATGATGGGACTATTTCAGCATTATCAATTATGAACTCTTGGTGTGTTCTTATTTGGTGAATCTCGTGATGCAATTCTGTTGTTGGTTCGAGGTCAAGACTATCTGGACTCATATGTATGATGTTGTTTGATTGCTGAAGTTCGTTATTTCTCATCTTCCTTGCAATTTGGTATCGGAGCTGTGGTATGATTGCGCTCATCTGGCACTTGTCTTCTGCCTTATGCGGTACATACGTGCGGGTGCTGGCTGCATGCTGCGCAGGTGCTGCTGCGCTATTTCGCTGGCTGGCACTCACGCTCTCACGGGCGAGCAGGAAGGAGCGGGAAGCCATCGCCGAGCTGCTCTGCTGTGAGCTGGGTGTGGGGCAGGGTGGCCCTTGGGTGCTAGTGGCATCTGTGTGTTGGGGAACGAGGTTGTGAGTGTAGCGAGAGACATACTTGGTGCTGGAAGCGTGCGACATTGGTCGCCATATGCTCGTACTTTGGGAAAGCTGTTGATGTCAACTTTGGCATTGTAGTATAGGCTAGATAGAATCTGCCACATGTACTCTGGGCGCCAAGCGCCAAATAGGATTTTTTTTAATTTTTTTTTGGCATAGGTAAATGCCCTGAAAATTTACAGATGTGTACTTCACAGAATACAAAACCCACTTGAAAAGTTTTAAACAATAATAAAATTGTTTAGACCCCGAACTAAAATGAAAACAAAAAGTAAAAAGTGAAAAAATATGTGGGCGAGCACGTTTTGACACCGCCATCTTTGGCGATTTTTAATTCTTATTTGGCTTAGCCAAATGACCTGAAAATTACAGGCATGTACCTCACGTCATAGAGAACTCACAAAAAACAATTCAAAAAAAAATAAATATTTTTAGGCCCCGAAATAATTTTTGGCAGGGGCCGAACGCCGTCGGGTTCGGACCCTGTACGGGACCCCGAATGCCCGTACGTAGGGAGGTCTGCCCGGGGACCTCCGTATGTACGGGCTGGTGACCCTGTTTGTGACGATATATACCGGGCAGTTCTGTTTGTGACGATATATAGGAAAAGACTAGCTGATGGTTGTTTTTGAAATATAGACTTACCAGGCATACGTGGGGCCCTAATATTCCAATGGACCCTGGTTAGTACCCTAGTAAATGTTCCATGGGGGACGGTAAAAGCCAATCGGGACCAATTTTGATGAACGAGGTTATGTTCGCGGTTTCCGATACGAAAAATGGCGGGTAAAATCCTCCGCCTGGATAGGTCTAGAACTGGCCCGACCTACAGTCCATAGGAGCCCAGTACACAGACTATTGGGTACTTAAGAGGTGAAGAGACTCGACTGTAGTCGTCGCCTACCGGTAGCACCAGTGAGTTAGCGCATGAGCGGACCGATCTTCGTCTTTCCCTCGTGCGTTAGCCCGTTGGTGCTCCCGACCGGTCGTCAATACCTCTACTTCACGACAATACTATGCATAGTGCCCCGACTGTTGTTACCACGTCGGTTTCTGCCGATATCTCTATTCGGCCGGCCCTTCAGTTGCCTAGGCTATCGATCGCTGTCTCGGCGACTTTAGCTTTTTCCTGTTCACTACGCCCCTTGGGAGTGACGCTCCTGTGCTCGCCGCGACTAGCTGTGTCGCTGGGCTCTCGAAAGATCGGTTGATTCGACCATGAAATCTCCCTTCGTTTTTGAAGAGATGTTGAACATGCACCTGGCGGAGGAGGGTACTGCAGATGCTCAGTCAGAGGTGATGTATTTGACTGACCATTGTAGAACTCATTAACTACCTCTCATCATAGATCTGGTTGTATGTAGGGTTTGGTGCCTTGGTTCTCTTATGTACCGGAATGACGTCTAAATTATGTGCTTTTATTATCTCCTTTGATGAGCTATGTCTGTGGCAAGACTAGCGAAAGGCATGTTTCATGATGATTGCCACCACCCTAGCCTTAATTAAAACGTTTTTAACGATCACCGACCCTTGGTGTGGTAATTTTGGTGATCGCAATGTACTATGGGAACCAGTAGTTTCATCTTTAGGCGGTACAATCGTAGTCGATAATCGATTGGACTTACTGTTTTTGACTGTGCCTCGCTGTTTGGTCCTGTGTTTTGATGCTTGCGTATATTGGCTTGGGTATGGATGGGACTGGTATCTCCCCTGAGTGTTGTATTCCCCATAGTTCCTTGCCTCCCCGTGTCATCAATATTGTCATCTCATCCTTAATGTTTCTCTTCTCCTTCTCTGATCACTTAATCTTTTTCCTAGTCCTCCTCTTCGTCTTCTTCATCGTCGTCCTCATCCTCGTCTTCTTTTTTTGTCTTCTAGGCTGGCTGAAATCTCCTCTCTCGATCTCTGTCGAAATCTTCCTTCTGCTCCTTGGTTTGTCCGCTTGGGGCATTTGTATTATATTTTTTTCTTCCCCCTCTCTCTCCCCCCGTGTTCCTTATTAAATGTGAGTGGGGGTCTTGTTGTACATCTATGGGTAGGCTATGTTTGCAGCCGAGAAGCTATGCGATCGGTCGAGGCATCCGAAGTGAAGATTGTCCGAGCTTCATAGCCGTTTGTCAGCGTCCAACTGACGCAACAGGAAGGGGCGACGGGGTGAAAAGGTGTATTCGCGTCTGAATATATGGGAGGCTGGGAGTTTAGGTTATCAGGGGTCGTCTTCTGATGAGCACTACGCGGAGTAAAGGAGTTTATGGTAGATGGAGATGGAGAGGATAGTTTTTACAGGTGTCTGTATAGAGGGGGTAAGAATGATCTGTGCATAGCCGTAGATTTTCTATCGCTGTCTTCCTGTGGAGTTTGTTGGTTGGGAACGATGTGTGGGGTTGTATGATTGTTGGAACGAGAGGACATTTTTGTAGCTCGTTTGTGTAAATTGATATAGTTTTTTATGAGGTCTTTCGAAGCACATTGTGTAAATTTTTTTTTGCAGACGTTAAGTGAGTAGTTGATGAACGATATCAAGCTTGCTCACGAAGAGTATTTGCAAGATCTTAGTATCATTCGATGGGTGCGAAAAACTTAAAGGGGGACTGGAAAACTGTTGGTTAGTGTGCATAGATAGGAGGAACCCGGAATCCTCCCCGACAAGCATCCTTCTCCTTCCCCAGAGTGGCCGCCTTCTCCTCCTTCACCTTCAGAATACCTCCGTCCCTTCTTCCTCCTCCACCTCGTCTTCCTCCTCATCATCCCTGGTTTTTCTTCAACTTCGCTTCGACATTGTCCGATGGGGTCCCTCGTCGATGATCTCGTGGATATTTCTCGATTGATTGACGCACTCTGACCTTGCCTCTGCTGATGATCATAGCTCTGAGTACGAAAGTCATTCCCTGGTGAAGTAGTATGATGATGTTCGGATGGAGCTGATTCGCTGGCCTATCCATGGTCTAGCTGGATTCTACAATTGTGGCGAGGTACCGTTTTCTTGGGATAGCACATTAAGGGGTAGGATTATTTGGGGAACTTCACTTCACGTCAGTTCTCTTGTTACATCATGATTAGATTCTTTGAAGATTATCTGGAATTGATTTCGGACGAGGAGTTGCATGATCGAGTCCGTATTCGAACACAGGAAAAAAAAGGGGGGTGGATGTTTGTTGTAGATAATGAGTCGGCGGGGCGTGTAGGGGAATCCTGGCACATCGCTTTTTTTCGATTTCTGAAAGGCCAGTGAGGGTGCCGTGTTTTATGGGATGGTACATTAGGGAGGGTAGCTTGAGTAGCTGGTAGGATACGATTAGCCGACTATACGGATGAAGGATACTGGGGTCTCTGCATCCGCTCGGGTGGTCTGCAACAAAAACAGGCGGATTATGCGGGTGGTTGGGAAGTGGGCAAAAGAGGATATGTAGCAGGTGTCACTACATAACCGAATGACATATCATATGGATTGTGGGAAGGCTGGAGTATCTCTAATTACGCGTTTTTCATATAGGAATACATTCGAATAATGCCCCCTTTCTTTTCTCTTTTCTCTTTTTTCTTTTTTTCTTTTTTTCTTTTCTTTTTCTTTTTCTTTTTTGCTCTTGTTTTTGCTTTTCCTTTTCCCTTGTCATACTCTTTTTCGGTCTTTATCCATTCTACAATGACAATGTTCAACTCATCCGTAGTGGCTGTGAGGATTTGTCTATTTGTAGTAAGTTCCATATCTTGAGCAATTGTCTTGTGGACCTCTCTGATTCCCGGAATATTGAACAAGTTTGTTTGTAGACATTGTTTCTATGGATAAGAAATGGTTGAATTGTAGTAAAGCAAATGTTGCATCTCAGGGTTTATTGATGGAGTATATCCTGTGCGATGATGGCGGGGTGGAGCATGTTTTGTGATAAATGCTGAAGCATCCGCAATATGTGTTCACACACATCATCACACACACACACACACACACACACACACACACACACACACACACACACACTGATACATGCTCAGTCGAGCAATGTATATGGAGCCAAGGATCCGCAAAGTGATGAAAAGGACTCGTATGGACAATGCAGTGTCAGCAAAGCATCAACCAGCAATGTACCTCTAGAATAGCACAAATTAGCGCAACGGAAGACTCAAGGATATGGCCTGACCGATCAGATACTGACACGACGGCCCATCATACATCACACATGTGAGAGGAAGAGGAGGGACCGCATACATGGAAGAAAGGTCCCTCCTCGTACACACACATGGGGAAGATACCACGGAGGAGAGATGAGGGAGAGGCAGGACGAAGATGGAGGTGAGGAAGAAGACCAAGACCGCGATAGCGAAGTCCAGAAATAGCCTCCCTGCCAATGTCCAATCAATGTCTGCCACAAAATGTCGAATCAGATCCTGTAACCTCTCTCTCTCTCTCTCTCTCTGAAAGAAGAAGAAGAAGGAGGAGGAGGAGAAAGGAGGGAGGAGAGATGGAGGGCGAGACGAAGAAGAAGAAAGTGTCGTCCTCCTCGCTGTCTCACCTGCAGGTAACTGCCGCCATGTACTAACTGCTGTCGTGGTCCTGTGCAGGTCGCTGGCGTGGAGCACGGCTATGGCGCCCAGGTAAGTACTGCCGACGCAGGTATGGCCACCACCCCTCTGCCTGCCTACACCTCTTCCTCTACCCCAGCATAGCGCGGTAGTGCTGTAGCGCTGGTTCAGCAGCGTGTCGCCCAAAGAAGTGGGCTACTCCAGCTCTCCCGTCTGTCCTGGCCAGGCCCAGCTATAAGTAGTGCTGGGCCTCGTCGGTCTGCCTCCGTGTGCCTCTGGTCCTAGGCCAAAAACGTGGCCTACTGGGTCTGGGTCCCGACTGGACGTCCAGACCCTGCCTGCTGATGCAGCAGGGACGTCCGTAACTGGACGAGCACGAACCTGGCCTGAAAGGGCCCTGCCTCCTGGTGTACCCAGCCCAAGGCGCAGCCTTGGGGACTGCAAGTCCGAAACGATGCCTGAACAGACAAAAATAAGACAGCAAACAAATAAATAAATAACTGAATGCTGTCGTAAATCAAATCCTGCCCCTAGGGGCCGCCGTGGGCCTCCAGGGTGCGCGTCAAAAGGACGCGCGGCCTGGGGGCCCCTTAGCAACCGTCGGGCCTCTGAAATGGGGCCCGTGTGCAGGTGCAGCATGTAACACACACACACACACACACACACACACACACACACACACACACAACCATAGAGTTGGGAGGAGATCCCGATCAATTGATAATGATGATAGGCGTCTCGATGATAAGTACCCTGCCTTAAAAAATACAGCTAGGGTCTGTGGTGGGAGAGTAGAGGGCGTGAGTCACTGGTTGGTCTGGTGGGTTCCAACTGGTGATGACGATAGGCGTCTCGATCATAAGTACCCCGCCTTAAATATACAGCTAGGTCGGTGGTGGGAGAGTAGAGGGCGTGAGTTACTTGTCGGTCAACTTAGGGGCTAATAGGTGATTGCCTGAGCCTGGCGTCCGAAGTTCCTGTACGGCGAGGCTCGTTCGACTACACTTCCACTAGGGCTGGGCCGCTAGCCTTGGTGACTGTCACTACTGTTCGGTCCAAGTTCCCCTCGATAGTGGTAGGGTGATGGTCCTGAGTTCTGGTCACACTGAGGGAGTCGGGAGTATTGACGTGTTCCTCGACACTCTCCGACCCAACCTTTCCCTCATGCCTCCTACCGGGGATATTGCAACTGAGTGTGCCTGGTTGTTAGACTAAGCCTAGCCTAATCTCTACCGACCTAACCTACTTATTAGGCTCCTTTCCTTCTACTGATGCACGTTGAGCAGCCATTCCGAGAATATCAGAGTTCCATCCTCTCCCTGTTTCACCAGGGTCCCCCGGTTGGCCCATGTTCTGTTGAATCACCTTCCTTGTGAGCTGCTTGTGGCTACTCTCCCTCTCCTTCTCCAGTCTCCTGCTATGGCACTGCTGGTCTGGCATTTACATTGATTGATCATTTGTCTGCCATCTCTTCGTTGTTGAAAACCTGCTTGTTCCGACCTTTGCATATTATTGAGAATCCAACTGCCTGGATCACTTGGGCAACGTAGCCCCAGCCCTCATCCAGTCTGAGATTCTCTGGGACACCACCCATCAGGACCCACAGTTCATCCTAGGGAAAGGCTCTGTTAGAGATCCGGTCCCATTGCGCCGCCCACCATCTCCATATACGTGCTGAGGCTGGGCAGTCCCACCACAGGTGGATCGTAGACTCATACGCCTATTGGCATCTCTTGCAGACTGTGTCCACTCTCACGCCTCATGCTGCGAGCCACACCGCTGATGGTGTGGCCAATAGGGAGAGCAGCCACATTGTGGCTGCTAATCGCTGGCTTGTAACATAGTGAGTTGATGCCAGCAGCGGAGAACTGCTCTAATGACATACTCTGGTTCCACCTGTACCACTCTTACCCACCGATCTGCGGCTACCATCTGAGGGGAGCGATCTGTGCTCTTGTATCCCAGCTCTATCGAGTAGTCCACAAACGCGAGGTCCATACCTTCTGGACCTCTACCTCTCCATGACCACTGGGTCGCTCTGCTCTAATCTCTGCAATTGGTATTCCTTTACCCAATAACTGAACGGTCCATACTCCCTCCTCATCGCAGGATTCATGGATTCTGACTTGGGCCAGAACTGCTGGTGGCCTCGCTCTCTTGTCTTCCTCTTCCACTCGATACAAGTTGGGGGAGTCCTGGTCCTCTGTCTGTCTCCAACATTCAAACGTCCGTCGTCCATCTACCCTGGACAGTGAGTCAGCTTCCAGAAATCTGTCTGATTCTTATCCAGTTTGTCCACGTATTGTGATCCTGGTGGGTCTACACCCTCCGGATTCGATACCGACTTCCAAGCAGCCTGTATTGCCCTCGTGATTGCAGCTAGCTTCTCCTCCGCCCTCCTATAGTTTTGCAACTTCTGTTCGAGTTCTGGGACCAAGACACAGCCGTTGCCGAACTCATTCCAGATGTCCTTTATCGCGTGACTCTCTGTTCCAGCCACGCCCTTCCAAAGCTTCCTGCCGCCTTATCTGTGATGAACCATCGCCCTTCTTCATCTCTTATCATTGCGTTCTCAAAGAGGATCTGTAGATCTCTTGCTTCGTCACCGGTTCAGCCCAGCAATCTGGTTTGACCTTCTGCCAAGCCTTTAGTATTCCTGTCCGCAACTCCGATTTTACTGGTCTTCGCAGGTATGACTCAATCCATACGCAGGCCCAAACGTCCTCAACCCTGCTCAAATGACAGCTTTCCAACCGAGCCTGCTCTGCGAGTAGTAACCAATGCTCGTCTACAGGGGCGGATAAGGCTTTCTCCATCCAAGTGGCCAACATTGCAGCATTTTGTTTCTTTGGGTCCTTCAGACCTAAACCTCCCTCCTGCGGACTCGGCCCAACTGTGCCATACGGTCTCCAACGCCACTTTGGGCATGAAGCCATCTGTTTTCACCCCAAAAGGTTTCCATATAAAATTTGAGGATCTCCTTTTTACCACGGCCTCCGCCTTCACACCCAGAGGTCGGACCTTCCCTACATACCGAAGGAGCGCAAAGAGCACTACCTTGACCACGAGTGCTCTTCCTATTGAAGAAAGGTAGGGGGCTTTACCCCACGTGGACAAACAATGAAGGATTTTTTTTTGGAGCAGGTCATCCTGATCTGCTGCACAGGATAGCAGTGTCATCTGCACCCCAAGGAACCGCTCCAACTGGTTGCCCACTATTCCCCAATGCACCTTTAATGTGAAAACGTTGGGTAGCAGGTACGCTGACTTGGACCAATTGATTGCTGCCTCTGACAAATCTTCGTATTCCCTCAGACAGACCCTCAAAGCTGAGAGTGACGCATCTGTATTCGCGGCGATCGCGAGGAGGTCGTCGGCTAAGGCTTTTATCCTGCAGTCTCTTCCTGCAGTTGGTAGACCCCAGATTTCCTGGTGTGCTTGGATGTTGCAGAGTATGGTTTCTAGCTGTACCACAAAAAGGAGTGGCGCCAGCGGGCACCCTTGGCGTAACGACCGTGATAGTCTGAAGCTTTCGGAGAAGTATCCGTTTATCATGACTGTAGCAGTGGAGTGGGAGTACATCCCAATCACCCGAGTACAAAAAATGTCACCGAAGCCTAATCTTTTGAGGGTGGTGAGGACATACGACCAATTTACTCGGTCGTATGCCTTCTCCATATCCAAAAGGAGAATGGAGTAGTCAAGGTTGCCTTCCTGCACCATCTCCATTGCTTCAAGAGTCGTAATTATATTGACGAAGCTTGACTACCCTTTAACAAATGTCGTCTGGTCGTCCAAGATCAACTCCGGCAAATACCTGGCTAGTCTCCTAGCCAAGATTTTTGCGAGGATCTTACATGCCACATTCCAGAGTGAGATCGGTCTCCAATTCCGAACCTCACCCACTTCCCATTGTCTGCTAGAATACAGAGTAGAACACTATCGACAGACCATCATCCCCAGGCACCTTTCCCTTCGCCATTGTTCCCAGAGTCACCCTTGCCTCCTCCTCCGTAATGGGGCTGTCCAGGTCCAGGCATCCGTGTAGCGGTAGCTTTACCTTCAAGTTCTGCCAATGATTGTTGTTCGTTGATAGGTGGATATCAGTGTCTTCCTCCGCCCGTTGGGGCATTCGGATGTCTCGGGAGTAGCAGGCGACATAGTTGCACAGATCCACTGGTCTTGAGGCCTTTGGTTCCAAGTCACTGACGGGGTGTGACAACTCCTTCATTGGTTGAGCAGTTCTCCTTGGGAGAAGTCGTTGGAATGACTCTTTAGTCATTCAATCATACACAATGATGCTCT